CCCAGAGGGCTTGTAACAGGGCTGCTTCACGATCATCAGGAGTGAGAGGGGTTGCCATGTGTGTGGTGCTGAGAACTGCACCTGGCAGCACTGAGTGCTCTGCACTATGCTACTGTTATTGCTGGTTTTCAAGCTTTGCCTGCCTCATTCTTTCACCTTGCTTTTTGCAACAATGACAACAAATCAGTCTTCCCAACCACAATTCATGCACCTCACAAAAGCTGATGAAAGACAAAAACTTCCCACTTGTCCCCTCCCTTTCATGCCTTAAGTGAAGCATTTTTCAGTAAAAATGGGTTTGTCAGCCAGGCATCATGGTGCATGCCTGTAATCCCAGGACTTGGGAGGTTGAGGCAGGAGGGTTTTTGCAATTTTGAGACCAGCCTGAGCTATAAAAGTGAGCTCAAGGCCAACCTGAATTGCACAGAAAGACCCTGCCTCAAAAAGAGCAAAACAAACAAACAAAACCAAATGGGTTTGCTCCTTTATTATTTTATAAAATTACCACCGAATAAAGTGCTGACAATCTGAACAACTGTACCAAGTTTTATGCACCACTGACAATTATTAACATAGGTATAGAGGCTGGGAGTGTAGCTCTGTGGTAAAGCTCACCCTTAGCGCATAAAAGGCCCCGGGTTCGATCCCAACCACCATAAACAAATAAACAAACTCTTACAGTTGTGTAATATAAGACCAGTGAGACACATGTTAAATAATATGTTCAACAGGGAAAATAATGTGCTCTCTACTAAGTCAGTAAAAATGATACAGATACTACAACAAGACTGAATCACATAGCATTCATGTTTCCCTAGAACAACAGTGAGAAATGAGGAGACCAAGAAAAAGTCAAGGGGTAAATTATTTAGGATCGGTGCAATGGAATTTAAGCACTATAAGCCAGGCTTTCCAAAGAACACCCCACAGGAAGCTGAGTTTCAGCAAGCCATGGGAGACAGCGCCACCTACTGGCCATGCAGTTCTCTCAGCAGATAGGAAGAGGGGAGAGAAGCTGCGGGGTGTGTGTGTGTGTGTGTGTGTGTGTGTGTGTGTGTGTGTGTGTGTAAAATAATGCGACCTTGGGCTTCGCCACAGAACCAAGCCAGTGAACTCAAGCAATGATTCTCGAGCTCCACTGCACATCAGAACCCACTGGAGATTATGAAGTCCTCGTGTTCAGGCTCACCCGAGGCACACAGGATACACCTAAAGGTCGGCCACTGACATTTGTCTTCGTGTGATGCTGAGACCTGCTGTCATTCAGGGCCTGGCTCACCATCCTGAGCTGGGTTCAGCCTGAATCAACCTCGGAAAACCTGAGCCATCTTTAAGAGCTCCCTCTGCACGGCATGTCCGTGTGCCTGTGCTCTCTTATTCCAGTCCGAGGCTTGGCCAAGGCTGGAGAAGCCCCAATGTGACAGTTCACCCCCAGTTAAAAATCACAGCTCTCCTGATGTATAACAGAGAGACAGTAAGCTATACACAGGGGAAGCGTAGGACCTGAAGAGTTTTGACATAGGTCTGTAAAGCCATCACCCAATCCAGTGATGAACACATTCTTCAAGACGGATGGGCTGAAGTGTGGCTCAGCAGCAAATGTTTGCCTGGGTTCCTGCCCCCACAAGAAAGATTAAGCAATCCTGTTTCAGACTCCAGGTCCTGGGTGTTTAACACCCGTCCAGGCCAGGCATTGTGAGAAGAAACTAGATTCATGATATACTAACTGTCCCTGGGGGAACTGGTGAAGAACCCCACTAGGATGGAAGGGAGAGGGTGCTTTAACTCCACAGTGGATGGTGGGGACTGAAGGTTACGAAAACAGCAAGCAGGTAATGGCTTAGCTGCTGTAAGCAGATGGAGGTTTTATTAAATGCTGTGGTCTAAACATGTGAGTTCCCCTCAATCCCCATGCTAGCTTTCTTCACTATCACAAATACCTGAGGTACATATACTACAAAGGAGGAGCAGTTTGTTAGGGCATGGGTGGTTGGTCCTGTTGCTTTGGGCTTGTAGCAGCATAGTGCATCATGGCAGGAGCACATGGCAGAAGAAACCACTTAGCTTACGGCTATCAGGAAGCAACAAACAGAGGCAGGGCCTGAGGTCCCTTTTCTCCTTCACGTGCGTGAGCCAGTGACCTAACTTACTTCCACCAGGCCCACCTCGAAGTTTCTGCAATTTCTGGTTGCTGGGACAAAATACTCGACACTCATAACTTAAGGAAGAAAGCTTTACTTTGGCCCACAATTTGTAAAAGTTTCAGCTCATAGTCTGCTGGATCCCACACAGGGTTTTGTGGTAGAGGAGAAACAGCTCATGACGTGGCAGCAGGAAGCAGAGCGAGCCATCAAGGGAGGGAGCCAGACCTTGCAGGCCACAGCCACAGCGACCTATCCGGCTTTGCCTGCCACCGTCACGTGTGACTATAAGCTCACTGCTGCACTATTCCAGGGATGACTATCATGCCCCATGACCCAGTCACCTCCCCAAAGCTACACCTATGAGTGCACGAGGCTTTGGGAGACTCTAGGTATAAACCATAACATGCTCCCTATGGCACCACATGGCCTTTAACACATGAGCCTTTGAGGGGCAATATTCAGGTGTCAGATCCTAGTGCCCAATGCGACGCCATTAGGAGAGGGGGCATTTGGAAGGTGATTGGGTCATGAGAGTGAAGCCCTTGTGCATGGGATTAGTGTCTTATAAAAGAGGCCCCAGAGAGGCCCATTGTCCCAGTATTTAAGGTTGCAGTGAGAAGGTGGCTGTTTATGAGGGGCCAGGTCGTCGCCTGACCCTGGCTCTGCTGGTGCATTCATTTTGGACTTCCCAATCTCCAAAACCATGAGAAACACCGTTTTGTTGTTTGTAAGACTCCTGGCCTGTAGCCCAGGCAGATCAAGACATTATGTACCAGGCACAGAGGAACTGAGCCTGCTCTCCCCTGGTCCCCGGTCTATTCTGTCCTTGATGAAAGAATTCAGTCAAGACACACAGGTGGCCTTGCAGAAGCACAGGCAGAATCTATTGGATCTGGAGAGAAGTACGCCCTCTAGTGAGGAGGGCAGCACATTTTTGTGCACACAAAAGCTATTCCTGGGGTCCACGGAACTAGGGTAATTATGATGCTTATTGATCTTTTACCTAGAAGTTACTTTGGAATTGCAAAATGCCTCCCTGTCCTTTTTCAATGGTCAGTGTTTCCTCAGGGGCTTTAATAATGTAAGAAACTTATAAAAGATAAATTCTGCATTTAAACTGGTCCCAGCCTGAAGCAGGAGGGTCTTTAAAGAACATTTCCTTTCCTGATATCACTGAGCTGTAGGCTCTGACAGCCTGGGGTGCTGTGTACCCGATTCTGGACGAGGATGGCCAGCTGGCCAGGTGTAGAAGGACCATGCCCAGTGTGTAACCTTAGCAAGTTACTGTGCTCTGTGAGATCACTTTAGATCAGAGCCCTAACAAGTGATTATAAACATGTTATACGTCAAAGTCTTTCTTTCTTTACTTAACCGGCGAGGCATGCTATTTTGGGGCCTCTCTCTTCCCTTGTCTCTCAGGCCCACTAACCGTCTAACCACCCGTCTAACAATCAGGCCGCAGAAAGAAAGGGCTTCCAGATGGAGGAGGATCAGCAAGGCAGCGGAGTTGGAGTGGGTAGGGGCAGTGTCAGGGTGCTATGGGGCGGGGCAAGAGGCAGAGCCAGGTGACATGGGTGATGTGTTCCCAGTGGAGAGCTCTGGAAGCAGTAATCCAGGACACGTCACAGCCAGATCCACATCTGAGGGAGTTCCAAGGTTGTGTGACAGTGGTCTAGAGAACCCTTGCAAAGATACCAGGAAGTACAGACAAATTATAGGCAGTTAAGAATCAAAATCTAGGGCTGGAGATTTAACTCAGTGGTATAAGTACATACCTGGCAAGCACGAGATTGTGAGTTCAATCCCTAGTACTAAAAAAAAAAAAAAAAAAATCTATGATGGAAAAGCCATTTTCATAAATCTTCCACTTAGAAACATCTAGAACCTTATTTTTATTCTCATGGTGGCAATGACAGGAGGGACCGTGAAGCCCAGAATTTGCATGGCCCAGGACCTCTGAGAAGTGACAGGAGCTTGCCTGCATGATTCAGAGAGCCCACTGCTAGTTCCCAATCCAGAACCACTCTCCAGTAAACGGAGGTAACATATAGGTTAGAAACACAAAACCAGGTTCAGCGGCCAGCCAACTTAAAGTGATGTCTGCCCCAACTACTGCCATCAACTGATGAGGTGACAGCTAATGGCTTTACTGTGGGCATAGGTAGCTCTTACAAGCTTTTTTAAAAATTCCATTCGCCATCTTGTCTGGCGCACACTAGAGTAAACAAAATTGTGTGTATAAGGATGCTTTCAGCTGCAAATAACAAACTCCTGCCCTTGACAAAAGAGCAAAGGAAAGTCCAGAATCCACAGGAATGGAACGATCAAAGCTCCAGCTCCAGCTCTCCATGGCCTCTCAGTCTTGCTTCCTCTGCAGAGTAAAGAGCTCCCCTTCCTCCAGATCTCCTACCCAAGCTGAGGCCTCATCCTCCTTGTACCCACTTAGGTCATGTGCTGAATTCTGTGGCAGGAGGGACAGAATTCCTCTGATTGGCATGGACCAACCTGGACTGACCCCGGAGCGGGGCTAGGATTGGTTCCGTGCAGAGTGCATGGCTGCTCTGTCTGGGTGCAGGAATGGGGTGTACGAGGGAGTGGCATCCAGAAATGGGTGCAGTATGTTAAAGTATCACCTGGGGTACTCTGATAACCACTAATGAGGATGGCAGATGTCAATCATTCCAGCTTTTTTTTTGTACCAGGACTCAAACTCATGACCTTGCATTTACCAGGCAGCGCTTGTGCTGCTGAGCTAAACCCCAGCCCAAACATTCCAGTTTGTTATGTGTCATGTTTGCTATTTAAAATCAGACATGTTGAGGTGCACATCCCCAAAGTCTTGAAGCGTGAGAAGGATTGCACCGATCAAAGACATTTTATTGTAAGTACAAGTGATAATAACAAACAAAATTACCTTCAAGGGGGTCAGACATCAGACACACACAAGCACACGATCTACACTCACGATGCCTGTCGGATGTGGGCGCCCTGAGCTTGGGGTGCTGGTGGTCACAGCTAAGCCTCTGTCAACAGGACAAGCAGCGGCCCTAGTGACGTCAGTCTGCAAATTGCAGCAGGAGTGCAGGACACCAGGACTCTGGACACAAGCTCCTTGTGGCCACCGCCACGGAACCGAAGGCCTGTGACTTCAGAGTGTGCTCACACTGGCTCCTGCTTGGCTTCCTTTCCTCGGCTCTGGCTGTGGGAACAGTGCGTGCTACAGGAAGTGCTCCTTTGCTCCCAGAGGAGGGGCACTCAGCGGGGCGGGCGCCTGCTCCCTCCATCTTTCCACCACGCTTTCGGCTCTCTCCTGCCTCTGGTGCTGTGTTTCCTTCCAACCTCTTGTACCAGATTCTAGACACTTCTGGTCTACACCTTCTTTTATTTATTTTTTTGTGGCAGTATTTTTTTTTGCACCAGGGCCTGATGCATGCTAGGCAAGTGTTCCACCACTAATCTACATCACTAAAACTTTTATTTTGAGACAGGATCTCAATAAATTGCTCAGGATGGCCTTGAATTTGCAATCGTCCTGCCTCTGCATCCTGGTATGTGGGATTATAGATATGCATCACTATGCTGGGCTCTAGCCCTTCTAATTAATGTCAAAAAGTTCCAGATTCCCAATGAGTCCTGAAAAACCTCAGAGACAAGTTTCCTGCCTCTTGGGGGTTAGGTCAGGTCACAAGATTCCAGCAATTAAAAGGTGTGGGAGAGACAGAAGCAGTGTCACTGTTCTGTCCTGTTGGAGAGTAAACGTGAAGGTTGGTGTGTCCTTCCTTTCCTGGGAGCTCCACAGCTGATTGGAAAGTTAGGTCACACATCCACCAGCTGTCAACTAAAGAATAACATTCTTCCAAGAACCAGGATACTAGTGCTGGGGACCCTTCTCTAGGTTGTACCAGGGAAAAACACCAGCCAAACCCAGACAAAACTGATCATTGTCCAGGCGCTTTGTACGATCAGAAAAAAATAACCTATCTTGCAAGTGCTAATGGCACGTGTGAGCACTTAATTTCATCGATGCTTCTTTAGTAGGGTGTAATGTTCTTGCACTATTCAGAGTCTCTGTTCAGAGGCCAGCAGGTGTCTGATGGTTCAGTGTGCACCATGCGTGCTTCTCCACGTCCTTCTAAATTCTCAAAATAGTGGCTTGTACAATGGGCTGGGGCCGTGGAGGTTCTGAATTTTCATCATTCTAGACAGAAAGACAAAAAAGGAGACAAAACTATGCAATAAGCAGTTTAAAAGAAACATACAAGAACATTTAGATGCATAAAGCATAAGCATTATGTACCTTCCTCACTGCCTGCCTATTTTTCCTTTTGTCTTTGTTTATTATTTTCAAGTATTTTTTTCTTTCTTCCTTTTCATTTTCAGGGCTGCGGCTTGAACCCAGGGCCCACGCATGCTGGGCAAATGTCCTACCAAGAAGCCACACCCTCGGCCTTTTTTAAGAAAAAAGGATTTCTTCTGTTGCCTTTCTTTCGTTCCTGGTTCCCTGCTGCTGCCCCGCCCCTCCTCCTGTTCTCTCCAACATCCTTTCCTTGTGTCTCAGGGCCCCATCCCTCGCCCTGCATCCACCGTCCCTGGCTTCCCCCTGTCCACATCTCCTTGAAGTGACTGCAAGCAGGGCCAGCTCTGGTGATCTAGTACAAACCCCACGAGCAAGCTATCTCCTCCCAAGTCTTCCCAGAGGAAATGAGATATTACCACCCTGCAGGACCTCATCTCTTTAGACACGGAGGGAGGGAGAAGAGAGAAAGTCGCCCTGCCACTGCACGGTTGGCAAGGGTGCCACAGAACCACTCTGATGCCCAACAGTCCTGTCTGGGCCTGGCCTGGGACCTAGGTCCTCAGCAGCCTCCACTGGAACCATGTCCATAGCAGCTGGTAACTTCAAGGGCAACGGAAACTGGTCTTTTTACAGATGAGTAAATACAAGGCCCAAAAAAGGAAGTGATGGGTTAAAGTCACGTAGATGATCAGGGTTGGGGATCACTGGTGGCTACTCACGAGAGCAGACTTTTTGTCTTTGAGCTTTGTTTTTTTTTAATTTTTTATTTTTTTTTAATTTAAGGAGCTTTGTTTTTAATCAAGAAACAAAAGGTCTGTGAGGCACTCAAGGACTGATAAAGATGCAATAGCGGAGGTCCCTTACCGTGCCCTGTGGCACTCTGCTTGGCGTAACCCACCAGAAAGCTGCGACTCACCCAGCAGTCCAGTGGGGCGCGTTACTGGTCTCCATAGGGGTTGAAGCCCTGGTGGGCGCGGGACGGCTGGGTCCTGACCTCAGGGAAGAGGCTGCCTTTGGTTTTCGGGTTGCTGAAGGCTGTGTGCTGCAGGTGTAGATTCTGGAAGTCATTCTCGATCAGGTTCTGCTCTTCGATGTTCTTTTTGTTACTGGAACTGCCATTAACAACAAGAATTAGGGTCTGACGATGCAGAAAGTTTCTTGGAGTCCGTGTTAATGCTTTGTAAAGCTGTTTGTGTTTCTTTATTTTTTGGTATAAAGAATCAAATTCAGGACTTTGTTCTTGCCAAGCAGGTGCACTGTGCCCCTGAGCTCTGTTAAAAATGTTTAAAAATTTTTGGTAATTTTAAATTTACACCCTGAGTTATACGAGGTGTGATAAAAAATGTGAATGTTTAAATTTTTAAAAAATTATATCACAGTACAGTATACACTGCTGTTGACTCTCCTCACAATATTCCCCCTCAAAAAAGATTCCCCCTCACTTTGAATGTATTTATGCCATCGTTTTTGCCGTTTCCTGAAGCAGTTCTGAAATGTTAGTTTTGCTATCACAGCTGCCTTGAAGTTTTGGATTAATTCAAAACATTTACCTTTCATGGCCGGTTTGATTTTGAGGAAAAGTCAAACGTCACAGGGCCAGGGGTGTAGTTGAGTAGCCCAGAGCCTGCCTGGCAAATGCAGGGTCCTGAATTCGTTCCCATTACCAAACCTCCCTCCCAAAAAAAGGACACATAGGTGCCAGATCCAGGGAATAAAGTGGAGAAGGACAACTAACGCTTTTTACAGACTTGCTTTCCCGCTGGATGCCAGTAGGCAGCAGCATAGTGTGGTTTGGATCCACTCACAAAGCTGCCCCTGAAGAGGACTTCCAGATCTGCTCCCCAAAGTGCCAAGAACAAGGGGCTAAGGACGTTTGAAGGAGGGGGTGCTTTCAGGGAATTAATAACAATGTGTCTTACTGTAATTATTTTTAACTTTTAAACATTCACCATATATATATATATATATATATATATATATATATATGGTATATGTATATATACATCACCAGATTTCCCAATTGTTAACCTTTGAACCAAAGAAGACACTAAATTTTGCCTGACAGTGTTATCCATAACCTCATTATTTTGCTCAGTGGAGGTCCCCAAAGTTTAAGGACAGTCTCTTTGTAAGCGCTGCGGTACACATCAGTTGACCCAGCATTAGCATCTAATCCCGACGGCATCACTTGAGTGTTGCTAATGACGTCAGTACTCGTTGGTGTACTGTTCTTTCCTTCTTAGAGATAACAGCTGAGGTCAAGTTTGTGGGGTACATTCCACTGAGACAGAGTCAACACCTGCAGAAGCGCCTCGGAGAGTAAACTGAGTTCAAGATTCCGAGGTTTTGAAAGGAGAACCAGGGTTTCTTGGAGGTGCTGGGGGCCCCTCCAGGCCTCAAGGGGAGGTGCTGAAAGCCAAGCGGAGTGCCACCGTGGGCTCCCGGTCACTGTGATTGTGAGCCTCCAGGCTCCCCTCCTTCCTGGCCCAGAGCACGCGCCTGCTCCCGCAGGGTCCTGGAGTGTGGTCACTGCACCGATGACACCACAGTCTACTTCAGCCAGCTGAGCTTCAGTCACCGAGGGGCTGCCACTCACCCGGCGGCCCTGGTGGCTGCCCAATCCACAGAGTCCTTGCCTTTTGACACGATCTTGTCCAAAGTGGCTGAGCACAGACTTTCCCTCCACAACATGGGCAAGAAAATGGAAACTCCTGCTGTGACCCAAGAACCTTGACAGTGAATCTGGGCTAAGTGCGGCTCTGGCCCAGCAGCCAGGAGCTGAGACGCGTGGATGTCCCAGAGTCACTTCCTAATGCATGTAGAGCTGGTTCTTGGCTTTGTTTCCTTCCAATTGAGTCACAGGGAAAAGCTAACTTCAGAACGGAATAAAATAACTGGGAGTGGTGGCTGTACTCCAGCACCAGGGAGGCTGAGGCAGGAGGATGGCTGCGAATTTGAGGCCAGCCTGGGCTACATAGTGATTTCAAGGCCAGCCTGAACTGCATATGAGACCTTGGCGTGCCTCCTGCACCGCCCACCCTGCAAAGAATGGAATGGGGTGGGGATAGTTTTCAGATCTAAAATCTCTATCCTCTCTAATTCTACTGGGAAAATATCTATTTTGTCAAAAGATAAGGTCTGAACTAAATGTTAGGAAAAAAGTACCCAGTTTGTTTTTAGCAAAGGGGAGCCCATGGCTTATGCGGGGTGGGGACGAGGTAACAGCGCCCTCTCCCTGTTAATAGCAGGAAATCCAGCAGGGCTAAATAACTGATGAATAAAAGAATGGACCCTGCTCGCCCTCCCTTAAGAGAAGAAAACTTAAGGTGCCAAGCTGAGAAACAGCCATGCTGATCTGATGAAACGTTTCTACTTTTGGAAAAACCCAAGGGCTCAGGGGAGTTTAATCTAGACCATTTGCACCAGGGAAATAACTTGGTGAAAATCGTATTTGATAACATTAATGGAACTTAATATTGTTGGCAAAGAATCTTACGTGACATAGGAAAATGATTGTTATGTCCTACTATAGAGTTAAGCAGAAATAAACCTTAAAAATTAAAAAATCACAAAGGTTACATGGCCACGTAATATCATTTAAAAACATGAAAACAGCTTGGAAGGACGTATACTAAAATGTTAGTAGCCTTAGGGTAGTGGGCTGAATGGGTGACTTTTTACTCTGATCCTTTCCACCTTTCTCTTTTTCTCAAGATTTTCTTTGATGATAGTGTATTTTATCCGATCAGAAAACAGTTCAATTAAGAAAAAAAAGAGTGGTAATGGAGGGAGGGCTCCCCCAGCTCCCTTCCCCGGCGCAGGAAGGGGAAACCAGTGTGCCCACCAGGAAAAGGACACTTCTGTCCACATACCTCACTGAGATGACCAACGCAATCAGCAAGCCGAGAACCAAGACGCCCAAAACAGCGCCCACAATAGTGAGGATCAGCTGGAATTCTGAAAAAGGACGAGGATAAGAATGGCTTTCAACAAACAGGTCCCAGGTCTACTGCACAGGTCTGTGCATTCCTGCGGGAAGGACTGGCCCTGCAGAGCCAGGCTGGATAAACAGTTCACATCCTCTGCCTCGCCTAACCGTGCCTTCAGAACTCAGAGAGAAGAGGAAACCCGGCCAGACAGAAAGGAGGCTGACGGCAGAGGGCTCTTCCTGGGCTTTGCGGGAAGCAGATCCAGCTCAGGTCCACATCTCCCTCTGTCCCTCTGCGCCTCTCCCACCCTCTCTCCTTTACTGAGGGACTCAGCCGGAGTGAAGTTTGTCCCTAACAGAGAAGCCAGGAAGCCACTTGGTTTTGTCCCTCAGTAAGAGTTCAGAGGCTCAATCACACGCAGTCTCCTCCTCTATCTCTGACTGGCACTACAGACCGTTCCAACACAGCTGTGAGATGGCCTGGGAGTGTGACATATGTACCAGATTCCACACACCCGATACAAAAAACGTGAAGTAGTTCATGAATATTCTTATATTACCTGCCAAGATGATGTTTTGTATGAATTAGATTAAATAGAATGTTACTCAAATAAGGTTCACCTATTTCTTTCTACTTTGAAATTTTTGCTTGATTTGTTTTTTGTGTGGTTTGCCTTTTGAGACAGAGATTTGCTATGTAGCCCTGGCTGACCTTGAACTCATTATGTAGCTCAGGCTGGCCTTGATTTTGTGGTGATCCTCCTGCCTCAGCCTCCCAAGTGCTGGCATTACAGCTGTGTACCACCATGCCCAGCCTTCTTTGTTTGTTTGTACATTTTTGCTTAAAAATTTAAAAGTGTACTATGAAATCTGTGGCTCATACTATATTTGTGAGATTGTAGGTAGTCTCTTCCGGCCACGTGACCTCCAACTTGGGTTAACAGGTTCCTAGAATATGAAGGCTGGGGAGGACCTGGACGGCCAGGTCCTGTGGTCCTGGACAGCCAGGTCCTGTGGTCCTGCACCTTTCTTTCTCTTTCCTTTTTAAGGTTTTCGGAGGTACTGAAGATTGAGCTGGGGATCTCACACGAGTTAGGCAGGCGCTCTGGCACTAAGCGTGTCCCCAGCCTCAAACCTCTCCTGTAGCAGATGTACAAACTCAAGGCCACAGGAAGAAGTGACTTAGCATAGCTGCCCTTGCTACCAAGTGTGGCAGAGGCCGAGGGCGCCTGTCAGCACTGTCTCTGGGTCTGGCAGAAAGCCTAAGTCATAGTTCCTGCATCTTGAATCATTGAGCTTTAGTTTGCTATGTAAACTTGTAAGTAGATTAAGATTTAAAGTCAGCATCGACCCAGTCTGGTGAGACAAGGCATGGAAGAGAGTGAAGAAACTGAATTTGCAGTGTGTCCCAAGCCAGGAAAGAACTCTGGGACAAGAAGATCTGAGTATTTAAATCACTCATGCCTAGCTTTCCTCTCCCACAAACACTGATTTTGCAATATACCTGTCTCTGATTGTTAGTAGAAGCAGAAAATTTGTATCTTAGTGCACGTTGGGCATCAGCATAACAACTTGGGATGCCCTGTGGCCCGGCCTCTGTCTGGGGTCCCAGGGCGGGGCAGCTGCTTCCTATAACCTCAGGGTGGGTGTGGGAGGCGCGACCGTGGGGCAGACTGCAAGCTGATTTCTCCCTCCGTGAGGGAAGCTGGATAGGAGTTTAACGTGGTTCACACTGATGACTTAACTTAGTTATAAGAGCAAGATTTCGATACTCACTGTCTTCACAGTTCATTCCGCTGTAACCAAATGGACACCTGCAACACAGCGAGCAAACAGGAGCCCTGTGAGCGAGCCCCCGCGGGCAGCACGGTGGACCTCCCGGCCCAGTCTCCATCTCTCCCCTCCGTCTCCTTTTGCTCCTTCTTTTTCTCTTGTCTTACGCTCCCGTAACTGCAGCAGAGCCACAGGTGAGGCACAGGGGCGTCTGATCCCACTTGGTCTCTTTGCTACCGCTGAACATTCTGCCCTCTGAGCTCCAGGAGGACTCGGCCACTCAGGTGAGGCTGAACCCCAGAGGGATGGGGTGTCACGGACACTCTCCAGGGGTGGCACCCCATGGCTCTGCCACCCGCCTCCTGTGTCCCCTGAACATGGTGACCAGTAAGTTTCAGACAGAGGTTGTGTGTCAGGTACCACACTGACAGAGAAGAGGCTGCTGCTCTCCACCTCCGACCTCCTGACTCCACCCCGTGTATGCGAGTCTAACTTGGTTCCCTCTGCCTAGCTCCAGCCACGGCAAGATCAACACGGAGCAGCTTCTCTTACTCTTGGCAGGCGTCGTCACCGTCCGTCTTCCTGTAGCCTGGAAGGCACTTACACACCACCCGTCCGGTGCTGTCCTTCAAGCACTGCTTTTTGTTCTCTGGGTTGCAGTCTTTGGGACACTGGAAAGTTTCTAAGCAGAGAAATTGCCAAGTAACTTTCAGAAACAACCTCTTCAAACCCAAAGGACAGAACATGAGTTTTCACCGTACTTTCTCTAAGTAAAACAAGGCACTCACTGGCTTGTGACCTGCCGTTAGGAAGCCACCTACAGGCAGCCTCAACAGCCCCTAGTCAAGACCCCACCCTGGAGTCTCTGTCTGAAGCCCAAACGCGCATCGTTCAGTCTCTGAAATGCACATGGAAAGTCAAGCAGTGATGCTCATATTTTGCCCGTGTGAAAGAGAGACAGAGTTGTGAAGAGCATGCAAGCACAGGAGGAATGCTTACCAAGACAGAAGGGGGACTGGAGGAAGGGTCTCTGCAGCCCATCTTTACACTGACAGTTTGAACCACTGAGGCAGTTATCTTGAGGGTCATCTTTACACCCGTAGTAGTCACACCGATTTTCACCTGGGAGACACACAGACAATACAGATGAAATGATTTGCGAGAGCACTCTGCTCCATCATTGTTAGCCTTTGTCTTTTTATACACTTTGGGATTCAACAAACGAGAATGTGGGGGATTCTGAAAGCCAGCACCCTAGCTCTTCTTTGATGACTATTTCCTTAAGTCATCAGTTCAAGTTAATTCATCCAGAGGTCTGCAGGTGGTGATCTCTTTTGCGCCTGTCTCTGGGCTAGGTTCCGTAAGGGACACAGAAGTCATTTAACTTTGGGGCTTCATCTCTGCAGAGTTACACCAAGAAGTCACAGTTCAGTTTCAGGGTCTGTGGCCTGGACTTTGAAGAATTCAGTAGCTCAAGTTGCCAAGCTACTATTGAGGAAAAGACGAGAATTAGGTGAGTCTTTGGAGATGGGGAAGACTGAAGCAGTTAGAGGAGGACAAAGGCCAGTTAGCTGAGTAAAGAGTCATCCAAAGAAGCCCAGAATTCTTGTCAGAAGTAGTGGAGCTGTGCTTGGGTAGGGAGAGGTGATGTGCTGGGGTGAGAGAAAACTAGGGTTCCGGGATTGGCCATTTGTTGACTATGGGCTCTTGATTCCCTCCTTTGGTTTTGGGTGAGTCCAGGTTCCCTCCATCTAGAAAGCTGGGTCAATCATTCTTGTTTCGCAGGGTGCTTGTGGGAGCTGAGCGAGCTCATGTAAGCGACAGTGCCCGTTACAGGATCCTCAACACATCCTTTGTCTTTTGTTCACTGAGAAGAAGTGTGGTGGATTTTGAATGTGAGGCTAAGGGCAACGAATTGTATTCTATAAACTAGGCAATCCTTTGGTAGATTTGGAGCATAGCACGAAAAAGCAATCTTTTAAGAACAGAGAGCCTTAGGGGTAAAAATAGGAATCTGGGACTAGATTAGCAGGGAGAGAAAAGAAGCAAGCAGGAAAGTGGTACTAAATATTGCAGGCCACAGCTAACCCGCCTTCCTCACCTGCAACTTGAATAATGTCTCCAATCAAGGGTCCAGAGGAAAATTTCACAACTTTGCTGAGCAGAGGCATATTTTTTAGCTACTGAAGCTGGGTAGCAGAAAGGATATTTGTCTCTACAAGTTATGAGGCTCTCGCCTCCATGTTCCTGGCATTTAGGCTCTTGTGTATTTCCTGAGGCCACCATTTGGCATTTTGTTAATGTGTCCAAGAATCATGTCAGGTGTCACGGTGGAAGGAGATATTGTGGGGAGTTGTCTGAAAAGTAGGTTTTAGAGCTGGGGCCAAGTGGTTTGAATTATACCACGGCCTGCAGCTGAGGCAATTTCTCAGGAGAGCTCAAAGGAGAGAATGTCTTGGGCAGCTCGAACATTATCTTAAGGAAGGCGTGGACTGGGCTTAGCTGGTGACCACCCTGAGCAGTCAGAGCCTGTGCTCATGGGGACATTCAACTTTTTCATATTTGCTAATAAGTCTCATCTAGCCCAAAGCAAAGTATGTCATAAGGGCCAAGGGACAGAGATTCTGATTGCATGAGCTGATACTTGGGGCAAAATTCTGACCTCAACCAGAAGGTGGATAAAAGTGATGGGTTCCTTGGGAGATAAGGACCAAGTGACATCCAGAGATAGACAGACAGACAGATGAGAGGAGGAGGAGGAGGAGGGAGAGATACATAGTATACAGACAAATACATACTACAGATTTTGAGAGAGTAAATACTGGAACATTCCGAAAGAAAACAGAATTATTCCCACAGCATGAAGATGAAAACAGTTCAAGAAGCTGAGAGGGTCTGAAAATATAATTCTAACTGTTCAGCTGCAGGAAACCAGTCTCAAACCTGCTGGCAGTCCAGAGAGCTAAACAATGGGTACAGTTTGCACAGAAAACCCTCAGACGATTGCTGTAAACAAAATATGGAAAGAAGGTCCCATCGTATTAAAAATATGCCAGAGAAAGTCAAATAAGCTCAGGCTTGCCACAAAAAATGTAAAGTCACAGAAGCACTTAAAAAATACAACAAAGAAAAGCAAAGTTTAAAATGAAAAATGAGCAAATTAGAGGTTCTGTGTGTTCCTGTGCACGTGTGTTTGTGTGCCGTGTGTGTGCTTGAGAGAGAGAGAGAGAGAGAGAGAGAGAGAAAGAGAGAGAGAGAGAGAGCTATAAGAAGCTCATGAAAAGGGGAGGGCAGACTGGAGAATTCTGATGAATGATATAAGAAAAACAGAATGGTTCCACACTATTTTTCTCCAGTCTCTTCTTCCAGGAAATTATACCTAGACGGAAACAGGGGAAATGTAAGTTGCTAAAAGGCAATCAGTGCCAGAGGGACTGCAGTCCAGAAGAGCTCTCATGTTTTCTGATGAAGCTTTTAGTGTTTTTTTTTAGTATTTTTTTTTGTAGAACGTGTATGTTCTGTGTTCTAAGATGTTGATACAAATCTCTGTGAAGTATAGAAGCATGAGAAAAGTTATCTGAAAAGCATAAATGAGCAGGATGTGTCTGTTTTCAAAAAGAGAAAGTAGTTTTATAAACGTGGTTAGGGAGTTTACAGTATCTAACCAGCACCTTCTGAGAGACAGGGACTGCACTGCGGAGGGAGCACACAGCAGGGTGGGGGAGGCAGGCCAGGGGTAAGGACAGCAGTGGACAGCTGCGGGGGATGCACCTTGGCAAGGGATGTGTACAGTGTCACATGCTGCCCAGAGCTTGAGCGTGTCGTGCCTCAACAGAGACCTCTGCATTGCACGATGAGAACTCAACGCCTGCCGCATTAGCCTGCCCTGGGCCAGCCCTAAGGGGTCACTCCCAAGGTGAGTTGCTGCTGCTGACCACTGTGGGCACCAGTATCAATTCATCCACACCTTTCTGGATCCGTGTTCTCTAGTAGGCCCTTCTGCTGCTATCCTGGGCTTGGTCCTCTGGCCTGCTTTGACCACTAGGATGATGGCAATGTGCTATCAGCAAATCTAGAGAAACACTGGCACATTGAACTTTACTCCCTTGCTGCTCATGAAGCCTTCAGACCAGCCTAGCGGGGCAGAGAAGGACCATCCGTGGAGCCATCTGAGACCCGCCAGCCCCTCACTGATCTAGCCACTAACAGCAGATGCTGAAGTGACCATCCGCGGTCAGCCAAGCCTGGCCTAGACTGGACAACTCTCGGGCTGAGTCTATCTCGAGTTCTGATGCACAGAATTGCGGAACTGAAATAAATAAATGGTGGTGTTTTAAGCCACTAAGCTTTGCCGTGGCTCATAACACGGCAGGTCCAGCCGCACAGGCCGAGGATGGGGGGTTGTATGTCAGGTTATAAGTGGGAAACAGGATAGGTGAAACCTTCTGTATCAGTTGGAAATCTGTCCTTTGATATAAAACTCTCTGATTCTCATTTTTTCCTGTCCAGAGATGACTCATCACTGGTGAACCAACTTTGAAGACATGGGAGACAGCTAGAAAAGGGTAGAAGGCAAGCGAGAGAGATTCAGCATGTAGTTTACATATGGCAGAAAGGTTTACAAATAGGGGGACAGATCTTTAGGTAAACACGGAGCAAAATTATCCAATGCTTACCTGAATATGCCAAAATGTTATTTGAATTTGTGATTGTATCATTAATTTTAGCAGATACACTTGTTTCATTTTCAGTTGTATTCTGTTCAAAGATGTTTACTACTTTTGCCATTACTGATACAAATCTTGCTTGTAGAGAAGATGTGCTAAAAATAAAGTAAGTCTGTCACTAGTAGAATCGAATGGAAGGGCTAAGAAATAGGTTTTCAAGCCTCCAACATTCCCAAATCTCTCAGCCCTTGTACTGAGTACTTTTCTGCTCCATAATTGGGACTTGAACTCACTATGTAGGTCAGGCTGGTTTCAGACTCATGGAGATCCTCCTGCGCCAGCCTCCTGAGTCCTGGGGTGACAGGTGTGCACCTGCAAGCCCAGCTGTGGCTCTGAGGTTTTAGGCCTCAGAATATATTTTTGCTTTCTAAAATTTTCTAAGCCCCATTTTAACTTTTAAAATAAAGAAACTTAAAATATATCCAACTTACCTGGGAAATGTTTATAGCTATATCAGATCCCCAGAACAAATAAACAAAGCAACAAAAAAATCCAAAACATGAACCAAATTTCACTTGGAGGGATAATCGCCTCAAAAAGACATCCAAAAAATTAATCAGAAGTTTAATTTTTACATTTCTACCAGAATTTATTTATGTTAGGATTTGAGGGGTGGCCATGGATTGTCTACATTGGTGAGAAGGGATATATAAGTTTTTCTATATTGCTTGAAAAATGATCAGGAGCCCATGGCATAATTTTCCACCACAGCTAGAAAATGCCGTCCACAATATATTCATCCAAGAACCTATTAGATTATACTCTGGACTCCAAAACAGTTCCAGGTAATGATGGTGCCAGAGTCTACTTAGAGCACTAAAGTTGGATTTGAGAGAAGAGGGCTAGACCCAAGGTGGCCATAGATCGTCTTTTGCGGCATTAATAATTCTCCAAACCTGCATGCTTTCCTCTGTCTCAAGAGAAGTTTGGGAGAGAGAAATTCCAAGGATCCTTTCAGAGGTGGCATTTGTACAGTAGGTGGAAGGCTGGGGCCAGAGTTTGAAAAGTGCCCTCCTGGGCGAGCCCCACTTGGCCTGCTCTGTCTGCAGAGGGAGGAAGTACTTTTCTGCAATTCCGAGCCAACAGGCAAAAGGTGGCCTCAAACTCCCTGGGCTCCCTTTTAGTAAACTCCTTACCAACCAAGCAGTACCACAGCTTGGGGGACTCCTCAGATGACCTGGGGACCAGGTCTTGATCAACCACAGGGCCCCTACTCTGAAGGGAATTGGCGCTGAGACTGGCTACCTGCTGCAGTGCATGTGCTGCGGTGGATACAGGGCGTAAACTTGCACAGTTTGGAAGTGATTCAGCAGGGGGCCGGGGTCCTCCCTTCGTAAAGGTCTCAGCCTGTGCAAGAGTGGCCATGAAGGTGGTGTGGGTGTATAGGATCAACCCCCCACCCTGTTCAACTTCTGCCGGGGGCTCTCAGCCTCCTGGCACAGATTCTTCAGCACTCCTGTGCACGCCCATCAGCCTCCTGATACGGACTTGCACGGAACACTGCAGCGAGATCCAAACCTTGGTCCGAATCCTTTGGTCTCCAATGTGTAGACACTCTTTGCACATTTCTTTACTGTGGCTGACCATTGTAAGCCAGCTTGTAATTTTTTATACATTTTTATATCTTGTGTTGTATCTGTTTCTCTAGTAAGCCCTGACTGATTCAGCATGCAGCCAGGGAAGCAACCTAATTCCTCACAAGGCTGCAGGGAACTTGGTCATACTGTCCCATCTGTACAGACAGGATTAGCACTCCCGGGCCATCACCCAGCAAGGCAGTCTGAAGCCAATATTAAGGCGCGGCTTTGGCTGACTCAGCCACATCTCATTGTTTCTGTCCTGATCCTGTCACCACATACGGTCCTGTACCACGCACTGTCCACTAAACCCTGAAACACTGCACAGTCCTCAGCTGCCGTTGCTGCGCCTCCATCTCCAGAGCCCTGTGCTCAGACCCAGCCTCTCTGTGCACTGCCAGCCCCTGCCTGGCCAGCACGTCCCCTCCCTGCTACCTACAGGCTTGTGCCCATGCAGAGCAAGCTCGAAAGTTACCACATTCCAGAAACCTGCTCTGAAATGCGCACACGCACACACACACACACACCCCTCTCAATATCCACTGGGGATTGGTTCTGGGATGCCCCACAGACCCTAATCCAGGATGCTCAAGTGCTTTCTATAAAATTACATACTATCTAAATACAGTGGACGCACACCCTGCTGTATCCGGCAAATCCTTTCCAGATTAATTTCACATCTAACACATATAAGTGCCATGGAAATAACTGTTATACTGTGCTCTTTACAGATGCAATTCCTTAAAAAGTCCTTTCTGAAAGGTTCTTGCCCTGGTATAAATTACTGTACGGTTATGGCGGTGGTCTAACGCCAAAGCAGGACCGCCCACCACTCCCTGCTTCTTCTTCAGCCTTAATTGCAACCCCCTTCCTGTTTGTGCATGAAGAAAACTCCATCAGCTCCTCGTGAGTTATCACTGCCCGCCCTAAGCGCCACCCCCGGTCAGGGTTACATGTATAGCCGTATAGCCATGCCCCAGGTTCTGGGCCCAGGGACCCAGGCTGTCTATGGTCATGGACTCCTCTCCACGTCCTTGGAATAAAGGCTATTTTTTACTTTATAGTCTCTCTTTTATCACACTGAAAACTCTTTCATAATGGTGCCGAGAGTTGGATGGTAGAGCACATTAGCTCCTGAAAAATCCCTCCCAGTTGGGGCTCCCCTGCCTAAGAACCACCCTTTTCTTCCTCTGGGACTGTTTACTTGCCACTGCTAATCCGCAGGCAAAAGCGACCTTCCTCACTGCACACGGGTGAGCTGCCGCCTCCGGGGTTTTCTGTGTCTGTTCCTAATTCACATGCTTGCATCAGGGAACCCGTCCTGCCCTCCCTGAACAGGGACACCAGTTTTCACGCTCCTTAGGCTGCACAGCCTGAGGCAAAACTATTATTTTTGTTCCCTGGGACCCCACCCCACACTCTTCCACGATCAGCCGAGGAGAATAGGTGTTGGACTTTCCCTGTCACACTTTCAAAGCTGGTGACAACCTCTTTCGATAGATGTGACCCAGGACAGCTTCCACGTTCCTTGGGGGGGGGGCAGCTAAAGAGGCGAAGTTGTTCTCTCAGCTCACTTATAATTTGGTCATGGGGACCACTTCCTGTCCCCTGAAAAAATACCTCGGTGTGCCTGGTTCATAACCTTGGTGCTCTTGGCCTCAAGAAGGCTATAAAAACCAAAAAGCTGGTCTTTTATGTATGCTTTTGCCACAATGGCGGCAAGTTGGCAGAAACCCTTCATTTTAGGCCTTTGTCACCTTAAGGACGTGTCCTCCTCTCACTGTCTTGTATGATGGCCCAAATACTTCTGGGTCACCCCTGTGCTGTCCTCTCACCCTCCCTCACCCACGGGGCCTTAATCCTTCCCTTAGTTTCTCTCCCCAGTCTCTAACTTCTCAATCCCACCCCCCAGAGCTTTCCTGTTCCTTCAGAGGGTTCTTTGTCCCCTTCCCCTGCATCACTATTTTCTATACGGTCTTGGGCATTCCAGCCTTGTGGCAGGCCACATGGTTGTCAGCAGCCATCTTGCTGCAGCTCGTGTAGTGGACAGCCGCCATCTTGAGGCCTTCCACCACGTAACAGGGTGCCACCATCTTGGGACAGGTCTCAGGGTCAATGGCCGCCACTTGTGGCCCCTCATGTGATCAGCAGCAGCCATCCCACTGAGGGTCACATGATGACCAGTCGCCATCTTGTGCCCCCTCGCTGTGTTACCAACAGCAGGTAGGCCACTGTGGGTCACACGGTAACCTACCAGCAGCCTGTGTTTCCTTGTCACCTGGTGACAAGTGGCCATTTTATAGCCAGTCATCGGGCAATTACCCACACAGGCCTGCTGGATGGTTGGCAGCTTGGTGGCCTCAGTCTCTATTCCTGCTTCGGGAACAGGCTGGCCCCGATGGATTAGTTAATATTCACGTTCCTTTTTTCCTCTCTGACCTATCTCAGATTAGCCATAAATTCGGTTCTTTTTCTGGTCTTATTTCAAGAGATCTCTATTAATTGATCTACAAAAAGATTCACATTAGTCTATTATAGTTCAAATTGGCCAAATATATTTGAGTGCACTCTGATTTTATAAGATGATTGTCAGTCTATATATCTGTTGTCTGTTTGTCCATTTGCCTGCTGTGTAAACAGCTATCTCTTTTTATTTGAGTTCAACAATTTTTTCCTCCTCTTTTACATTTTCAGATCATTTGATCAAGGTTTATTTGGGTTATAGATTTAAAAAACATGCTACCACTTAGGTTGCCAGCTGGTCAAAATGATGCTAAAATTGGTTAAAAAATCCCTTGGGGTGAGGAGACACTGGACAGGATTTCAATTAATGAATGAGAAAGTGGCCACCTGATAAATTTAACCAGCTCTTGTTCGTTAATCAGAGGCCTCAATAATCTCCATAGCCATATGGGAGACACCTCAACTAAAGTTCATATGACTAAGACAATTCATTGTTGCTGATCTGATGGTATATTTTTGCTTTAAAATATAAAATTGGGATTGTTTATGATGACAAGTGTTTTCTTTCAGATCCAGATGTCTGCCTTTTTTCTTGTGCCCCAACCAGGAGATTCAGGTCAGATCAACATGAGGTCACCAGTCAAATGATAATTTTAAACAAAAGTTTATGTAATATATATGTTATACTTAGAGATGCTTAAATAGTGGACAGTCCAAACAATGTCACAAATTTCTTCAGTGCTCAAATGTGAAAATATCCATGGTTAATAGAAAACAGTAGTTCCATTTAATGTTCTATGTTAAGATTTCTACCTCTACTGCACTTTACTGTTATCAATCTTCTAGATGTTCAACAACAAAAATTAAGAGATAATTATAAATTCCTTTTGGATTCCTTTTTCCTGGGATCCACCAGCTCTTTCCCAAAAAAGTTTATATGATGCATATTGGGACCATAATTTACTACACTCAGCTGAGTGTTAAATGACACTGCAGCTGATGTCTCTCCTAAATAAAAAGGTAAAATTAATAAAACAGGCCATCTTCCAAAAATCAGATGGCATTAGACATTCTAACAGCACAGGAGATACTTATATAATTGTAAAACCTAAATGTATGTATGGCAAAAGAATGATATTCAGTTTCTAAAATTCCCTGGACCTTATCCTCCTTATGGAAAGCCATTGCTGAAGTTATAATCATAAATACCCTGTTGATTGTATTACTTGACTCTTACATACTTAATTGATTCTTTGCCTTTGTCTCCTTTAGACTTAAAGCTGTACACCTACCCAAGATAAAAACTGTGAGGAGACAGATACCTCCCACCGTCGACCAGATACCAAGACAAAAGGCTAAACTTGGCCCTCAAACCCCACAGGGAGGCCTTCTTAATATGGCTTTTCATGTTTTCAACAACAGATAAAAATCAAAAGGAAAAATAACAATCTAATCTTTTAGCAGTGACACTTGGGGTTCTGAGACAGGTAAACAGAGACAAGGTGGAGCTGCCTAAGCCACCCCCCCTTCCCTGACCATGCTTCAAGTGCAACAAAGAAAGACACTGGACAAGAGAATGCCCCAACCCTGGCATTCCTCTGGGGCCTTGCCCCTATTGCAATCTCAAGGGCCATTGAAAGAGCAACTGTCCTAGCCGCCAGAGAGCGGGTAAGCCATCCTCTAAATCCTTGCCCTCACAGGAGATCTCATCACCACCAGATTCATTGCTGACTGATGTACTTGGACTTGCTGCTGAAGACTGATGGGGCTCAGAGTCCACAGCCCCCATTAAGGTGTCCTTCTCAGAGCCCCAAGTCCCACTGGAGGTCTCAGGTAAAACATTCTCTGTCTTTGTGGACATACAGGCCATGCATAATGTTCTTCCTGAGTTTTCAGGCCACTATATTAAGTCCTCAGTCTCTATAGGGGGTGTTGATGGCCAACCTATGCAGCCTTTACAGACAGGGCCTATTCCATGCAGGTTCCAGACTCTCTTCTTTACCCATAGCTTCCTAGCAATTCCAACATGTCTCACACCCCTTTTAGATAGGGATCTTCTTCAAAAGCTTAACTTCTCCTTTACCTTCTCCCCGACCACAGCTCTATGTCCTCCAGACACCCTCATAATGTGCCACAGAGAAACCCCCCCCTTCTTTTTTGGTCGATCCCATAGTTTGGGATACCTCCAATCCCACCTGCGCTACCCATGCCATGCCTATTTTAATTCATTTCAGGGTTCCTTCAGTTTTTCCTTGTGTTCCCCAATATCCCATAGCTCCCAAACATTTACAGGGACTTAAACCCATAATCAAGCACCTTTTAGACAATGGTTTTCTTAAACCTACCTATTCAACTTATAATACTCCTGTTCTCCCAGTATTCAAGCCTGATGGGTCTTATCATCTAGTGCAAGACCTTGGGGTAATCAACAATGCCATTACCCAAGTTCACCCAGTGGTGCCAAACCCTTATACCATGCTCTCTCATATCCCTCCCTCCACCACTCACTTTACAGTCATAGATCTTAAAAATGCCTTTTTTATTCCTCTGTGTTTATGCAGACAGACCCAGACACTCTATTGAGCACATGAAGTGCTCAATATACACTGCTCTGCCAGCAGAAAGAGCTCACGATGGGCCCCTTGTAACCAGGTGTGTGACTTGGGTGTCTCGTCCCCTCCTCCTTCCCACCATGAAAGAGATGGCCGTGAGCTACCCGTCCCCTGCCCACCTCCCAGGTGTCCAAAGCACACTTACCTTATTGTGTGAATTACAGTCTGTTTGTAATCTGTTTTGGCAAATGCACTTTGGAACTGTGGGCAAGAACAGATTTAACAGCAAATTGAAAAAAAATTAAAGCATTACTCTATCTAGGTCTTAACACAAATTTGTAAACTCATTTGTATAAATATACATGGCACCTTGGAACAAATTACTTGCTCTTGACATGCCTGCTAATGGTCATCTTTGCTGTAAGGTAGTAAGATTCTAACGTAAGTCAGCGTTATCCAGGGGAAAGATGGAAAACACTTGGCCACATCAATGATTTTATTCTTAAAACTAAGGGGACTTGGAGATGCAGATACAGCTCAGTGGCACAGCACCTGCCTGGCAAGTGCAAGGTCGTGAGTTTGATCCCCAGTACCAAAAAACAAAAAACCAACAACAACAACAACAACAACAAAACCCCCCAAACAAACAGACAAAACTAAGGGGACAGCTTATTCAGTTTGTTGTTAGTTTCAAATAATATTTGTCAGTCCTGAGTGTAGATGTGCTTCATCCATTCCTCCAATCACCAGGAATACATATTTACTTCCTGACCCAAGGCATGCTAGGAGTCATTTTGATCATCAGCACAGTAGCCTCATGACCAAGTTGGGGGAATCATGCTGAGGGGTGCCACAGAGAGAGACGGGCTACGCGGGAAGTTTGAAGAGACTCTTCCAGTGACAGAGGACCACAGAGGGCTTCTGAAGCAGAAGGACCTCAGGACAGTCAGCGGGCTCAGGGAAGCAGGCTTAGCTGGGAAGAACATCTACGATCCGCTCGGCCGGCAGTGTTCAGTTGGACCTGACTTTCCTTGTGTGAGAGTGCTCATGACAGCAGCTCCCACCCCGCAGGGCTCCAGGGTGTGTGCAGTGAGTCGGAACACATGGAGTGGCTCGGGGGGTGCCAAGGCTCCGGCACAGGTGGATTATCCGGTGCAGGTTGTGTTCTAGAAACAGACAAGTCATAGAGGGAACTGACTGCAGATAAAGCTGGGCAGGCTGAGGTAGGACAGCTGGGGCTTCTGGTCTTGTTCTTCGATGCCAAAAAACAGGTTTTCCTCTTTCCCGTTCCATGGCTTCATCCGTTTCCCTTCCTCTCCCTACGCTGACCACTGCTGCTGCACACTGGGCCATGCCCGGGACACACGTGACACGCACTGCGTGGCTGACTACGGTTTGTAACCAAGTCAGTGCCACCTTTTCATAATCTGCCACTTTATTTTTCTCTTATTAGACTGGCAACCAAAAAGATGTTAAATTTAAATTGAAAAGAAATGTCTCTTTAATTCTAGCCAAATTCAAGTCAGTTGGATGTTCTAGTGGTCTGGTTCACCTTACATGCAGGACACATCTTGGTTTCTCTGTATCCCATTGGGCCCTAAAATCACAGGTTTTCTGTGGCGCAGGAGGGCTCAGGGCTTAGCTAAGGAGCAGATGTGCTAGCTGACCTGGAAAGTTCCTTGCAGTACCCCTGGTAACCACTGCCCCCAGAGTTCTAACCTCAAAAATGAGCTTGAGGATCAGCATCTGATGTAAAGAAAGTGTTTCCTGCCTCCCACCCAACCTGGGTCACCTTTGAGGATGCCGCATATACAGTGCTTTAAAAATTTTTTTCTGTTACTGGGGATCGAACTCATGACCTTGCGCTTGCTAGGTAGGTGCTTATGCCACTGAGCTAAATCTCTGGCCCATATACAGTTCTTAAATCTGAAAAGCTGGAAGATAGGGTGAGCAGTCATGAGCTATGCAGGATGGGCCTGCCTGGCTCCATTGCACAACCGAGTCAGCGGGTGAGCCAAGGAAGTGTGTGACCAGGAGACCTGGGGTTAAGTGCCAAACTCCTCACTCAGGTCACTTCATCTTTCAGACTCAATTATCTCACCTGTAAAATGGATACAGTAGCAGTATCTCCCCATGGGGCTATTTTGAGAATGAGAAACATCAAACAGAGAATGTAGAGTGTAAAAGAGAGAAATTCCAGACAGCTGTGCAGACTGTCCAGCCAGATCCAACTGGGGAGAAAGTGACCCTGGGAGATTTGCCCTGGCCTGATCTGGGACTGCCCCACAAGGTCTCCCAAGGAGCCCTTAAGGGAGGTGGGTTTCTCCATTTCCTAACTGTGCACCAGGGCCTGTGGGTATGATGCCATCATTTTGGGTTAATCATCTCTTTCAAATTACAAACATGCTCCATCCCCTCCAGCTTCCCAGGCACATTCAGGCCTGGCTGAGATCAAGCCCAACTCAAAGCCCAACTCTGAAGGAGAGGGCACAAGTCTTGGCAGGATTGGGGGCTTTTGTGACCCTCAGACCCACGGGAAGATCTGGGGAACTCAGTAGCCATGGTCCCCAGGAAGGCCACCGTGCAGAGGTGCCCCGGGAAGAGGAAGATGCTTGTGTCATGTCTCCAGTACACTGAGTATCACCCAAGCTGGCAAATCCAAATTAGCGCATAGATCCAAGATGAGAAGCTGAGGCACGCAGCCATTCCCTCATGCAGAGGTGGCCAGTGTGACCACTGTGAGCAGGGGCCCACAGCCCTCCCATCCTGGCAAGTCAGGGACAGCTGGTGCCTCGGGAAGCCTGGCTCCTGCTCTGTGATGGCTGCTGAAGCATTCACGTAGTGATTATTGCCATGCTCCTAGCTCTAATAACAAAGCTTACAGGGATATAATTCCAAACTGAAAGGCTTCGTCATAAAATAAGAGTTTAGTTTTTAAAGGTATTTTCCAACTACAGTCTTACGACATATTTAAGGCTGATTACTTTTCCCTCTGAAACTAAACTTCGAGGAAGGCTGGGTGGCTGCTGCCTGGGAATCCCAGGCTGCCCCCTGCACCTCTGGAGTAGCTTTACCTGCTCCCTCCACTGGCCGGCTCATGCACAGCTATCTGAGGGAAACAAGACTGTTATTCATTTCAGGATCTTTGACAATGGAAAAAAATAATGGATACACATGCAGGCGTGATTTCCCTTCTAGATTTAAAAAACAAAGCAAAAAGACCAGTATGGACATTTCTACAAATTTGAATGCAAAAAAGGAAACAAAAATCTTGAGAGTTTTCTTGCTTCCGTGTTATTTTTTACTTTGTGCAGTGCTGGGAATCAAAGTGGGCCTTGTGGATACTCAGCAGGTACCCTGCCACGCACTGAACCCCAAATCACTGATCAGTGAGGTCATTAAGGTGTGGGGCGAGAGCCTGAGGCGGGACGTTACCTTCCACAGGCTTGGCAAACGCTCTACCACTAAGCTAGGCTCCATCCCCAGCCCACTGTGAAATCAGTTGTTCTGAAACATCATTCTGTGTCCTGTCCATTTCAAGCTTGTGGATAGCTTCTGTAAGAAGGAGCCCCACAGACAGGACAAGCCTCCTCTGCCGCGCCAGGTGCCTGCCTCTGTGTGGAGGTGTGTGGAGTCTGAGGAAAGGTCCTGGCCACAGGGAGACTGCGCTGGCTGCCCCCTGCCCCCGTTTCATCGCCTGACCCGTGCCAGGCTTTGCACCCCAGTGTGAGAACAGAGAATGTTTCTACACAAAGGTAGGCAGGGAAATACTTACAAATGTGGTAGTATCATTCCAGAAGTTTTCGTAGGCTAAAGAGCCTCCATTTTGCAAGTCAGATACATCATTTCCTTTTACCGTAATCAGTCCAGGGAATGTCTTTCCTGAAAGTCAAACAAAAATCTTTCTGTACTGTTTAATGTAAAGAGGGTCGTTTCCATTTTTTAAAAGCATACATTTATTTTTTTAAAGATTGGAATATCAGGTGATGACTCTACAAGAGGTCTGGAGATACTTGGACAAAGATACCCATAATCTGACCCAACCTGCACGGCCATTTTCATTTTGCTGGGTCCCTCCCAGCCCCAGCCCCGCTCACCCCATGTTAGTTCCGAGTTTGTGACATGCCTCACTTTTCTGACTTATTACTAGCTGATACGCAGTTTCCCAAATCGTGTCTGGTCTTTATTGCTGTCATTTTTAAAGACTTCACACCTTTGCTGGTATGGTCATTTTTGGTTCTTGGACTTAGCCCTTTTGTTTAAAAGGGAGGAGAAAGGTTGCAGTGAACACAGTCATGTCTGAACCTTTTTAGAGTAGACCCAGGAATGAGATGATTCCTGTTAAAAATGTGAGTCTTGTTTGGCTCTTGCATGTCCCCGCCCCCGAGCAGCATGGTGTGTTTGTTTCACCCATAACAGGTCTGCTCCGGCAGGGGGAGAGTTCTGATCCCTGAAACAGACAGGCCTGGGAGCTGCACAGCACCCGACGCCCCACCCAGCGGCACTAAGCCATGGCTGCGTTACGCGGCTCTCAGCATCTATTTCCAGAGCAGAGGGGCTCCTCTGTCTCTGTCACGGACCAAGCAGATCCTGTGCCGCACAGCTGAGCCGGTGTCAGCAGAGGCTCCCAGGCCATGCCACCTGCATCTGCCTCGTGGTCCCCATGTCTAGCAACACTTTTGAGGCAAGCATCTTGAAGTTTCATGGCCTTGGCTGTTTCTGAGGACTCCGCCATCTACTGCTCTCCTTTAGGGCCCCTGGCACCTTCCCTGGAGCCCCGGGAAGCAGGGGTGGGCCCACTTGGGCCCAACATTCGGGTCTGAGTGCATCTGTCTTGCCGCCACTGGCGCTCATGGGACAAACACTGGAACATGGGCGGCCCGGCTGCCTTCAAATTGTCTTCCACCTCTCTGATCCTGTGGAATATCTTGTTACACATCACTTTGGGTTTCCTATTCCACTTTAGGTGTGACATTCAGAGCTCTGCTGTGGTTTGCTGCTTGTAACTCACCTCTCAGACACGCCCCAGAGTTGAAGTAATACCCCTCCGTGCACAGGCAAATGTAAGTACTATACAGGTTAACGCAGGAAGCATCTCCTCCACACGGCTTACTTTCGCAAGGCTTGGTAGGACCTTGGATGGAGCAGAAAGAGATTAGAAATCCATAGGAAGGACGGAAACGATGCCTGAAAGCGTACTTCCTAATCATCGTCCCCCCCCTGCACACTCTCCTCGGCTGTGTTAGGCATAGCATGGCCCTGAGAAGAGCTAGGAACAAATCCGTGCTTTCTTAGGTCTCTGGGGAGTCTGTGGCTGATATTTTGGAGCTGAGAGCTTGATGACAGCAAACATTAGAGGCTGGTGGACAAAGGCCTGCTTGGAACTGGGTCTCCCAGTTCCAAGGAGTCAGGAATCTTGAGAGGCAGTGAGGAGACTCCAGCCTGCCTTTCTGCGTGGATGGCTGAAATCAGTGGTCATAGTAAGGGTGCAAGGGCTCCCACCCCACTGGCCAAGGCTGCTGAGCCAGGAAAGGCCCAGCGGCTTCCCCTCCTCAGAGAACAGAGCAGGAAGTTATGCCAGCAGCCATGCGGCCATCTTGGCTGGCCATTTTCCCCTTCTCTAATACTATGATTCCCAGCTTCAACTTCAGAACAGCTCAACGGTTTGACAAACTTTAGAGCTGTTTTGAGATTCTTACAAATCTGTAGGTAGAAGTTGTTGATTTTTTAAAAAAGCTATCTATGGTGTTAGATATAGAGCATTTTCTCATGATGCGTGGAGAAGACATACACATAAATACCACAAATTGATACGTATATATCTTTGTATTTGCACAGCTTGTCTCTGAGGGAGACATAAGCAACTGGCAACAGAGGATGCCTCTAGAGAAGGAAAGTCAGGGCCTATGGGTTTAGGATGGGACGGAAATTGAAAATTTATTTTTTTACTTTTTCAGTGCCGGGTCCTGAACCACATTCCCAGCTGGGGAGATTTAATTTTTATTACATGCACTTTTGCTCTCTTTGAGATACTTTTCCACAATCATGGGCCTAGTTTTCTTTTACAAAAAAAGCAATTAAAAAATAAGGAGTGTTGGTTGTCTGGCATGCATGAAGCCCTGGATTGTTTCTCCTGTGCCACAATGAACCAACCAATCAAGTTTAATTAAAAATTAAACTAACAGTGCTGGTGATGAGAATGGACCACGGCACAGGCCCTTTGGAAAACAGTTTGGCAAGTGTCTGACAAAATTAAACGTGATTTTCACACGTGACACAGCAGTTACGCTCCTTGTGTGCACACGGAGCACTGTGCACAGATTTGACAACAGATTTTGGTTCATGGAAGCAAGCAAGATGCCTCTGGATAAGAGGAGGGATGGCCTATGGTATATCCAAACAACAGCCTACCATTCTGCACTAAAAAATAAACTGTCAAGTGATAACCAGACATGAAGGAAAGGCATATTGCTACATGAAAGAAGCCAGTCTGAAAAATTTAACTACTTTGTGATGCTAGTTATTTGACATTTTGGGAAAGGCAAACTATGGAGACAGTAAAAAGAAAACCAGTGGTGGCCAGGTCTTAAGAGCAACGAACCGGAAGATCAGAGAGGAATTTTAGGACAGGAAAACTACTTGATATGATGCTACCATAATGGATCATGCCATTATTCAAACCCATTAATGTGCAATAACACAGTGTCAACTGTAGTCTTCACGTGTTAGTGATGGGGCAACGTAGCAGTCCTCACATGCGCCCCCTGGTGGGTGATGTTGACAGTGCCCGAAAAATTCCTGTGCTTTCCTTAATCTTGCGGTGAATCTCAAACTACTCTAGAAATAAAGTCTGTTTAAAGATGTTCAAGGGAGAGAAAAGAACTAAACTACAAGGGGCAAAAGAAGTGACACTAAGCTACCTCATAAACAGCAATAAGTATCACCCCACTACAAGGTCTGAACCTATTCTAAGTAAAATAAATAGCCTTTTTTAAAGGCTATTTTTTATTCCTGGTCTTTTTGAGACAAGCTCTTACTATGCAGTTCAGGCTGATCTTGAACTCACTCTGTGTCTCAGGCTGGTCTTGACCTCACTGAGGCAATTTTCCTGCCTCACCCAACTGAGGATTGCAGGTGTAAAGCCACTTTATAAAATGCAAGCATGATTGGAAAATGCTAGGGAAGAAACTGAGTCCGCTTCCTCTCTGGAGATCAGGTGAGTGGCTAAGTCTTGGTGTGTTTTCCCTTTAGCCACAGGACACACTTGTTAGCTCATTCGATAACTGGGAATTGGTTAAGTCACAGGATGTCACAGCTGGAAGGGGTTTTGCTGGCATCTTTCTTTGGCCACATCTTATCCCAGATGGGTACACGGGAACCAAGAGTGGGGTGAGCTGCCCGACAGGCAAGTGTAGGAAGGTGACTACCTCACTCTGGGGACGATGTTGGAAACCCTCCTTCCTGATTCCAGCAGAGCCGGGCATACGGATGCTACCCATCTGACCTCGGCTGCAAAGAGACCCCTCTGACTGTAACTAAGTCAGAGGGGCAGAGTCCCAGGCACAGGCTCTGGGCTCTTTTTGCTTAGTCATCCACTTCTTAGCTTTAGCTAGCAGCCCTGGGAAAGCTGTCAAGAGTGTGCGGGGACACCAACTTGCTTTTTAACCTTAGGCAAGTCACGGCCCTCATTGAGCCTCAGTTTCCCCATCTGAGAGTATCACGGTTTATCGAGACCCTTTTAGCTTGAGAGTTTTAGGATTCTCCTAGACCAGTGGTTGGTAAACTGTGGCTCATGAGCCCTATCTGACCAACTCTGTTTTTGTACATGAGTTTACTGGCGGAACACATGCACGCTCATCCTTTGTATGTCAACCATGGCTAGTTTGGGGTTAAAATGACACTGTGGGGCAGTTACAGCAGGGACCAAATGGCCTACAGTGACTGTGCATTTACTATTTGGCCTTTATTGCTGAAGTCTGTGATTCCTGTTCTAGACAGCACCTTGGGAAATGAGGCCGGTGGTTTCTTTTTCAATAACTTAAGCTTAAGGTCAGTTAGCACTTCTTAGCACCCCAAACACCTACCCTTTGGACTGTGGTCCTGCTCATCTTACAACTGTTTGAACACTGCTGTTGTTTGGTTTCTGATCAGCTCAGTTTCCAAGTAAAGACCAGTCACTTATCTGCAGGATAGAACTAAATTCTTCCCTACTCAGCCAGGGGACTGGGCATGCGGCTGAAGAGGCATAGCTTATTTCCAGCTGGTCTTTCTCAGAGCAGCTGGAACTTTAGTAAACATAAGAACAGAGTGGAACCAAGGTAATCTTGTAGGGTTTCTGCTGTTATTGCTAGTCTTTATGCGTCCAGTGTTAAGTCCGCAAGAAATGTAGGGTCTCAAGATACCCACTTCCTTTCCTTACCAGAAACCCCCCCCCCACCATGCACCACAAGGTAACTGCCTTCGCTGAGGCATATTTGGAGGAATCACTCTTACCTGGGATTGTACTGTTTGTGTTACTGGACACTGATGACGAGGTGGTGATGGAATGGGAGAGCTCCGTAGTAGCGCTCCCTGGGGAATGGCTTTGCGTAGCAGAGGGCATCTGAGTGGTACTGAGTTCTAGAGAAGCAGTTGTGAGTTCTGTGACGTTTATAGCAGGAGATGTAGTATTTGGGAGGGGGGTAGATGCATTAGGTGGGTGGGGAGGCAGATGCGTGGTCCCTGTTGTGACATCAGATGAGGTAGGGGATGAGGTAGGGGACGAGGGAGGGGATGAGGCGGGGGATGAGGTAGGGGATGAGGCGGGGGATGAGGCGGGGGATGAGGTAGGGGATGAGGTGGGGGATGAGGCAGGGGATGAGGTAGGGGATGAGGCGGGGGATGAGGTGGGTGATGAGGCGGGGGATGAGGTGGGTAATGAGGTAGGGGATGAGGTGGGTGATGTGGTCTTATCCGATGCGTAGGTATCAGTGATGAACAGTAGTGCAGTAGTAACTGTAAATAAAAAGTCAAGAGTTACACTGCTTTGAAGAACAAAGCTAACCAGTTTCAGAAGAGTACACTGAATAGACAGTTGAGATTGTTGTTACTTAATATGAACAGTATTCAGCATATTCTTTTTTGGTCTTTTTGAGGCAGGATCTTGCTGTGCCTTAAGCTAACTTTGTAGCTCAAGTTGGTCTCAAATTTGCAATGATCCTCTTGCCTCAGCCTCCTGAGTGCTACGATGACAGGCAATTCATCTTATTTTATATATATGACTACGTTAAAAATGGAAGTACACAGCTGGGTGTGGTAGCTCATAACTGTAATCCCAGCACTCTGGAAGGCTGAAGTAGGAGGATCACAAATTCAAGCTCAGGCTGGGCAATTTAAAAGCGAGATCCTGTTTTGAAATTTAAAAAAATTGGAGGGTGGCGTAGGGATGTAGTTTAATGCAAAGGGCCTGGGTTCGGTCTTCAGTACCACAAAAAAAGATATTTCTAAGCACAAAGCATAACATTAAAATTAAATCGACAAAACTAGAAAATGTTTTCAAAGCCCAGAGGTGCAAAAGGCTGGCAGTGCTCGGGGAAGACAACCAAAAATGCCACAGGGCGGCGCTCCCACACAGGAAGTGGGCTCCTTTGTCTTTACACTAAGGCGCCTGCCCAGTTTGCAGTAGGGGATTTTTTCTGTTGATTGAGGGAGAAAAAATTACAGGAGTAATTTAAAGAGTGATTTAAAACACTGCATTAAGTAACTTTTAAACTTTTTCCTTTTTTCTGGTATATTTATCTGTTAGTAATCTAGACAGATGGACTTTTAAGATAATAAGTGCTCTTTATCCTAAGGACCACAGTGGTCATCAAAGTTGCGTTTTCACCCCTCATAGAAGCCTGTAGGCACATGGAATAGTACATTTCTCATGACCCAGTGATCCATTTCCTACAGCCCTTACTTCTCTCTAAGAATTCTGATATTGATGATGATTACACAAAATACTTTTATACAAAATACTAAAAGAAAAAGTAATTGTTAAACCTTAGGGTGCAGAGAACGTCTAATTCCCCAGGGGTCTGTAGGCCCCTTGGGGATGAGCCTGGGTTTGCACTCCGAACAGGACATTTAGAAATGGAGCAGCTCCCTCAGGGGCAAGAGAGCAGAAACTGGCTGGCAGTTTCCTGCTGCTCCTCCTGCTCTTGAGTGCTCACTTCTGTCTGCCAGGACCTACGATGCAGACATGACATCCACACAGGTGAGCCTACCAAGGCCCACTTGACTGCTGAAGACCTGGCCAGAGCCAGAGCTAGGTGTGGGGAGCACTACTGTGGCCACAGCCTGGCGGCTGGGAGTTGTGCAAAGACCATTCATGTCATAAAGAGCCAAGAAGTCCCAGAGCAAAGGAAGATAAACAGGGACTTGAATGAACAGATGGAAAAGTCGCTGGCCTTCAGGATGTCCTCTGTCACTGGGACAGCAGGGAGAGCGGCCTCCGGCTGACCCTGGCCACCAGAACTGGGGCGAAACAAAGGCTTTAGCAGCTTATGGTGGAGGATAACTGCGGCCCTTCTAAATCTTGACTTTCGTGCTTTGGAAATGTGCATGCTCTGCTGATGCCAATAACCAACACGTTTCTGTAGATATGCATGAAATGTATGTAGACCCTTTGCCAGGTTTTTTTTTAGATTTTTGGGGCTATGACAAGAAGGTTGGGGTTTGGTGGTTTATTAAGTTTGGTTTTGAATTCCTGTTTACTAGGGAGATTGCATTCAGGGCCACTCAGTTTTAAGAAAGATGCACACACCAAGATGACACTTATTCCTTGTTGTGAATAATAACTATATTATATTAGTTTAAGTGTGTGTGGGGGGGGGTACTAGGAACTGAACCTAAATCTTTCACATTGAGCAATGTCTACAGCCTCTGAAACATTTTTGAGACATGCTCTTATGAAGTCACTTAATTACCCAGGGAGGGTTCAAATTTGTGACCTTCCTGCTTCAACCTCCTGCAGTGCTGGGATTACAGTCTCACCACCACAGTCGGCTTACTTTAAGCTTTTGAGTTCCTTAAATCCTAGAGATTTAACCAACACAACGGTGGCACAGTTTCCACAAGGTTACAGACTACAGGCTTAAAAGGGGGAAAATATGCTTGACCCAGCGCCTCTCTGGAGAATTCCCTAGAGTCACCGTGCTGTACAGGGAAGGCCTGTGGCTGTTGTGTTCAAAGCTAGCTGAACATAGTAATAAGGGCCTCTCTTCCAGAGTGTCAGCAGTAAGGGTTAGATGTGGGTTCTCAAAGGTAGCACCACAGAACAAGGTAAAAACAAAACTTCATTGCAAGCAAACAGTTGTGAGCAATATATCCAGGATGGGGTGCCGGGATGGGGTGGTGGGAGCTCTCTGAGCTCCCTCTGGGGGAGATGTTCTCACTTTATTTCATATACATCTACACTGCCTGGATTTGTCACGATGGTTCTGCATTCTTCATATAACTTTTTAAAACAAAGAGTGAGAACAGAAGTTTAAAAACTGGGTAGCTGGGCCATGTGAGCAGGTGTTGGGCCCCTCAGTGAGCCGGTTGTGCCCCTGCAAGCTGCATGCTCTGTCTCTCCCTTCAGTCACTTTCCAGTGTAGGGACAGCCCCTCTGTCACCACACAGGAGAAGCTGAGGCTCAGGGACACCCGCACTCTGAGGCACAGCGGGGTCCCCTCTGCTCTGCTCTGCTGCTGGCTCTTTCTCCAGTTCTCTGGGCCAGAGAGCATTTGCTCTCCCCTGAAGGAACCTGCCCGCTGCTCCTTGCTTGCTTCCCTCTCTAGCATCGCTTGCCTGCTCCCTCTGTTCCTCTGCTTTTCCCATACTCATGGGAGCCCAGCCTTCGGCAGCAGCAGCTCCTGAAAGTCATACAAACTGTATCGCTGCTTACTAGCATCTGAAGGCTTGTCTGCCACAGCCCTCCATAGTTGGCAGGGTCACGTGACCCTTTCCCCAGCCTCCCGGCTGGAGCAGCTCACAACTGGCTCTCAGTCAAGTCCTGAGGTCTGTCACACCTTCTAGTCCGGTCAGACAGGTTCAATTTCTCTTCACCTTTCTGCCTTGTTAAATGCCCCGTTGCTTTCCACAGGTGGCTTCCGGGTCTCATTTTCTTAGCCCTCACCTTGGATGTATACAGATGGCCTTCTCCCCCTTCCATCTCCGAAGAGGGCACACATCTGAAACCTAACCAACACTGCCATTGCTCCTTGAAGTCTGGCACCCTCAAATTCAAGGACGTTGCAGGATAGATCCAGAATGCTCCAGTACGGTTTGGGTCCTTGAACCTACTTAATCATTCTTACCTGGCCTCAGGCACCCACCCCTCTTGCTTGTTGAAGTCTTAGTTTATAGACTCCTGTACTGCTATATCTTCCCTGTCAGACTAAAATGCCGGTGCGTTTGAGCTGAGCTGCACAGGAAACTCATCTGTAAATTGGTCCACTTGGGAAAAACTACCGATAGCTGTAAGGACTGAGCGCTCTGAGCCTGCCGTTTCATCTCAGACACAACAAACCGGGTTAGAAGAAGCAAAATGAGAAATGTTTCTTACCCAAGCACACAGGAAGGAGAGATATGAAGACTTTCATTTTAGCTGCTCTTGCTTGGTAATCCAAGGAGGAAATGATTCCCTTCCTTGCCTCTGGAGTTTTAACAGTCTTTCAGGGACAAAGTCCTGCCGTTGACTGTGACGTCAAACTAGCCAAAGGCAATTAGCTGTTAGGAACTGATCAGATATTGCAGGGCTCTTCCAAGCTTTGGAGATACGAGGGATGTACCTGGCCCCATGGATTATTCTTCTAGCTCAAAGTCTGAAACAACTTAAGGAATTCTAAAATCAGTTTCAAAGTCCTTGTAAGGTTGACGGAGAGTGAATTGAGTGAATCTGTCGTATTCCAGACGTCCCTAACCCAGCCCCTTTCGGGAGGCCACTGTTCCCTCAGATACCTATGACGCAGTCTGTGCTCTGCTCTGCCCTGTTGGCACACAAAGCATCCAGTTTCCTCCAACTGAAGCTGGGAAGCAGTTTGGTTCCCCACACTGTTTTCTTGCCTCTTGCCATCTTTTACTGTGGGCCACCGCCTGGGCCTCTCTGATAGTCACTCCTAGCGAGGTTACAGCTCCACACTTCCACGGCCTCCACATTTTACTCCACCTGGCCAGAGACCCTCCGCCTTGCAATCATGCTTACCAACACCTAGCGTGTCACCGAATTTTACCAAAGGCTGTGAGAGCCAGCTTGAAGAGGAATAGAGCACAGCCAGGAGCACGACCGAGCCAGGCGATCAGCCCTGTCCTCCTGACTGCTCGTGGCCGGGCGCCAGCTCACCCGGTCCCCTCACTCTCACCCTTATGCACAGTCCCAACCTCTCTGTGTTCCAGAAACCCCACTTCCTCACTAGGAGTCCAGTCGTGTGGGTCCACGCCGCGCTCCTCAAGATCGAGCCCGGTCAGAGAAGCAAAAGACAGCACCTTGTGAATTTCATCCTGAGTCTGAACGTCGGCTTAAGTAAAAAAATAAACAATTATATTATTGCCCAGAAGTTAGCGCTCTATTGTCCCCAAAAGTCTCATGCAAAAACAGGTTTGGTGGTGTGTTCTCCCAGGGCTGAGAGGCCCGCTGAAACATTCTGACAAACTTAAGCTTCCTCATGTGCCTGTCACTCTCAGCTTAAATCTCTGTTGGCACCAGAACTAATTAATTAAGTAATTAATTTTTTGGTACCGGGATTGAATTTATGGCTTTGCCCTTGCCAG